ACTTGGTGAACCTCGAAGTGCAGATTTCGTGGCAGGCACAGCACTTGGTGAAACTCTAAGTGCAGATTTCGTGGCAGGCGCAGCACTCTGTGAGCCTCGATGTGCAGATTTCGTGGCAGGCGCAGCACTTGGTGAACCTCGAAGTGCAGATTTCCTGGCAGGCGCAGCACTTGGTGAACCTCGCAGTGCAGATTTCGTTTCAGGTGAACCTCGAAGTGCAGAGTTCGTGGCAGGCGCAGCACTTTTCGAACCTCGAAGCGCAGATTTCGTGGCAGCCGCAGCACCTTGTGAACCTCGGAGTGCAGATTTCGTGGCAGGTATAGCTGTTTGTGAACCTCGATGTGAAGATTTCGTAGCAGGCACAGCGCTTTGTGCTCTCAGATGCTCACTCTCTCACTCACTCACACATGCTCACACCCACACTCACTCTACACTCACACTCCCATTCACGCTCACACTCACTCACTCACCCTCACATTCACACTCACACTCACTCTCACTCACACTCGCACTCACACTCATTCACCCTCACTCACACTCACTCTCATCCACACTCTCTCACTCACACACCTTCACTCTCACTCACTCACACTCACTCTCACTCACTCACTCACTCACTCACCCACCTTCACTCACTCTCACTCACGCTCACTCACACTCCCACTCGCACTTTCACTCTCACTTACACTCTCACCCTCACGCTCACTCACACTCACACTCACTCACACTCGCACTCACACTCACTCACACTCACTCACTCTCACTCACACACTCACTCACACTCACTCACACTCACACTCACACTCGCTCTCACTCACTCACTCACTCACTCACCCACTCACTCACTCACTCACTCACTCACTCACTCACTCACTCACTCACACTCTCACTCACTCACACACACACACACTCACTCACTCACCACCATCGCCACCGTCACCACGATCCCCACCTTCATCACCACCATCACCTCTCTGGACCCCAATGCCTCTAGATCTCTGGAGTTTCTGCATATAGACCTCACGCACACTGTTTGGGGTCTCTTGCCGGGATAATTCTTTTGTTTTTCTAGGTTCCTTGAGTAGTAAATCCAAGCGAAAGACTGAAGCTGGGGATAGCTCCTTCAACCAGGTCGGCCTCACCCGACCCCGTCGGCATGCGATCATGTAGCGAACCGATTGCCTCGGTCGACTGACACCAGGTTTGTGGTGCCCAGTCGGTTTGTCCCCACCCACAGCCATGTTTTGGAAGTTGGACGCCTTTTGGGAGATGCACCCCATATTGACATGGTAAGAAATATGGAAGTGGAAAACTGCAGGTTTGTAGGAAAGTGGTCTTCCAAGATTCCAGGGGCCTCTTCTCCATGAATATGATAATTCCAGGGAGCGTAAGGAAGAGCAGCACTTGCCCAGCCTATAGAAATACTTCGAGGTTTTGGGTGGAGCTCTTCCAGTTCCACTTCAAGGGTTATGTAGATATTAGAACTTCCCACCTAGCTGCTAGCTGCTCGCCACTAGCTGCTCCTGCTATCCAGTGTCTCGACAACTAAGGAGTTAAATCTCTTTTACTCCCTGGGAAACTTTCAAGTTTTTCTGGCCATGCAAGTCTTCTGCCGGAACGCTGATGCGGCCGCTTGGTCGCATGAACCGTAGTCGTGGGGGGGGGCAGTCATGGAGACAGATGCGACGATGCTGACAAGCTGCTTGATGTCTCTTCAAAGATCCCTTCCAAGACCTGAGATCTACTAGTTTTCATCGCTATTAGGTTGGACGCCGCAGCTATCATGAGAAGAAGAAACCGTGACTGGGAAAAACGATCAACGCAAACCAGAAACAGTGACCCGCCCCTGGCCACATCGTATATCCCAAGAACCTCCCGCCAACAATTCAGATGCTAGGAGCACATGTCCACCTGGGTGGCGACTTCAGATTTTCAGCGATGGCCTCCAACCTAATAGCGACGGCCTGCAACCTAGAAGCGGTGGCCTCCAGCCGTTTTGTTTAATGTTAAACCTTTACTTGAAGTAAAGTTGGTTATATTTTGAAGCCACTGAGTCACCGCATGTAAGTTGAAACCACCCACCCATCCCTGGCTACGCGCCACGGATTCGCACCGTGGCGCCAGATCGGTGCCCTGTTAGCCGGCTTCGGCGGCTACGCGCTCTATGAGGCGGCCCACGCGTCGTGCCCGGGAATGGGACTGTCCCAGAGGTAGGCTCTGTACGAGCCCAAGGTCACTGAACCTCTACTTTTGTTATACCAGGACTCCGTTTTTGTTAAGGGCATCTATTGTTTTGATCCGCTGATCTAGAGGTTCAATGGGCCAACAAGAGCACACAATTTGCTTGTCTCGTGGGTCGCGGTGGAGCCGGAAACATCCACCTCACATCTGTCACAGCAAAAGAAGGTCCAAGACCTTCTATACGACCTCCGGATTTCCCTCAGACTTCCCTTGTTTCCTTCAAGTCCAAAAGGCAGGCACGGAAGGATTGGGACAAAGCCATTTGCCTTCAGGTCTATCCGAACGCGCCCTTCTTCCTGACGTCAGCCCTCGCCTTGTTTGGGACTCTTATCTTTATTGCAGGCCACTCGGGCGGCGAAGAGGATCGGACGGAGTTCATGGACCGAGCCGCTTTCCTCGGTCCTCCTCGGTCCTTCCTCAAAGGGTCCATCCTCAAAGGGTCGATCATCAAGGAAGTCGGAAGACTCTACAAAAGTCAGACAGTGCCATGTTAAAACTCTGCAGGACGCTTGGATACGCTTGGAAGGGAGGTTCTTGTGTTTGAAACGCTGCTTGCATTTTGTGACGGTGCCATTTGCTCGATTCCATGCCATTCTACAGCTTGCCATTCTACACACCTCGCGCCACACCTCGATCCCGAGTTCCCTGCCACCGGCCTCTCTGCGCCGCCGTCCGCGGGGCGTTGGCTTGGACCCCAGGCTTTTGCTCCCGCGTGGGCTTCGGCTTGGACATCGAAACGGCCGAAGCGCGCCGCGCCCGGCGGGTGGGCTCCAATCGGGTGGCTTAGCTGAAGGCTTTGGGGATGGAGAAGCAGGGGTTGGCCAAGATTCGGCAAGGCAAAGTTTGTGTTTTATTTTGTTTTCTTGCGGGTGAGTTAATATGAATTATTCATATTGTCAATGTTGCGAATGCACATGTTTTCCATTTAACAATGCATTTCATGAGAGTGCGGATAGATGACCATCGATGTCACACCGCGATCGAATTTCCAATTCTCAAATCCCGGCCGAAGGGCCCTTGAGTCACGTTCGGCGACGACATTCGCCCTTCGCTTGGCGTGTGAAACGTTTGCAGCGGCAATTGCGTTTTTTTCTACTTCATTGCTTGGAACTTCGTGAGTTCAAGTACTTCAAGACATATATATATATATAATATATAAATATATATACCCTGAACAAAACCCTTACTTTTTGTCGGGTTTGCTTGCAAACCTCGTGTTTCACTACTTCCATGCTCCAAACCCCGGGTTTCCATTATAAACCCCGGGTTTCCCAAGAAAAACATATAACGGTTTTTCTCAGTATATCCACGAGTTTTGATCGAACTATTCTCAAAATAGCTGGAAAAAACAGGGTCAATCTTTTCTAGAAGACCGAACCCGTGATGGACACGTGATTCACCCGTGACAACCCATGCTTTCCCAATCGAAACCCTGGGCTTGAGTCCAGAAACCCTAGGCTTTAGGGAAACCCCGTCTTTGGCCAAACCCGTGATGAAACCGTGATGGACCGTGATTTACCCGTGACAACCTGTGAAGAAAAACATGGGTTGAAATGAACCCTCTAGTATCTCTCTGAAATGTTAGTGTTTTTGGTGTGGATTCATAGTCACTGGTCTCACTGGTCCAGCCTCTTTCTTGTTCGAAACCCCGGGTTTGGGGGGCAAACCCTGGTTTTGAAAACAGGCCCTGCGAATTTCTCGGGTCTTGTTGGTGAAGGTATATACTGCTGTTTTAAGTTGTTCCAAGATGTGGTCGGTTGAGTTTGTTTTGCTTTAAATGTTTGCTTTGCAGCTGCTTTCAGTGGACGATCTGATGGCAACTGTTGGTGAGGAAATGTTCTGTTGGCTAACCAAGGTCCCAATCTGGTCTAGAACCGTCAACAGGTGTTGAACAACATATATACCCTACAGGGCCCAGTCAGACCCAGCAACACCTGGTCCCGGAAACCTCATATGAGCAACAAAAAGTCAGAAACATGCATCAAGTCAGGGGCCTTTCTTGTGGGAATTTTGGGGCCAAAGAAAAAGGGCACCTGGAGCCTCTCCACCGTGCCTCCAGAAGCCCCAATCCTTCATCCGGCTGCTCCGGGTGCTCGCGGCTGCCGACAGCTCCGGCAGCTTTTCGCCAGGTCTCCATCTGGAAGAGTTCCTTGGGATCGATTGCAAAGCGTCGTTCGCCATCCCCCACCATGACCACATGATCCCCACCAAAAGGTCAGACCTGACAGATGGGTGAAATCAAGCGAAGCGCTTTTGGGATGCAGTTTGCTGGACGTGTGACTGACCGCCGGCGATGGTTTGGGGAAACTGGACGCTCAGGAGGAGGATCGTTCGATGTTTGGGCGAGCTTGTGAGCCACGGTGAGTGAGGTCCTTCCCCCCCCGGAAGTGGCATTGGTTTATCCAAAACCTAGACACCCTGTGGGACTGCCAGTCGGACTGCCAGAAAAAATGCTTACATTGGGGTGGTGCCAGGGGGGTCAATGGGACGGCATATATGGCAGTCCCATGGAGTGTCTGGGAAAGGTGGTTCAATGCTCCAAATACCAATGGATGGACATCATGACAGTCTACATCCCCACGAGCAAGCAATGGAAGGGGAAGACATGTTACGTAAGCACAGCCATCGAGGCTCCCAATACTAGCATGGAAGTGGAAGCTGGCCTCTCAGGATACTACACTCCCGAAAACTAACATGGACCCTGAAAATGGGACCCGGAAAGACTGATTTCCTCTTCCATCCAGTGGTTTTCAAGGTCCATGTGAGTTTTCCACCGCGTATTTGTTTTCCTTCACTGGGCTTTGCACAGATTGTTTTGGTGGAGTGTAATTGCTAGGGATGTTTTGTACACAAACAGCTACGAGACCTGATGTCGCAGAACGGTCCACCGGTTTCCATGTCAATCGTTTTGGGCAATTGCAGGGTTAGACAACCGGTTTGCAACATCATCTCAAATGCCCGGATTGTTCCAGCAAGATTGTTTGGTCAACAAAGGGGTATACAAATCTATCTACCTGTAAATCTATGCAACTGTATATTCGCATGTGGGAGAGGCCAGACCCTAGCCCTGCTCTCGAGGGGGGTGCTACTTTGGACTTAGGGCATTGGCTGATTCTGTGAGGCGACAACCAGACGGGATGATCCTTCCCTTTCGGGGCAGCAGGACTCCAACATCGGTTTATGAAGAAAAGACTGTACAAGCAACAGGAGCATCTAGTGGAGCATCAAAAAAAGAGGAAACCCATGGGGTTTATAGGTTGTTGGGGTCAAAGAGTGGTTTCCTGTCGATGTTTTCCTTCCACCGGTGCCGCTTGACGACTTCCAACGCGTTTCGCGCCTCGAAAGTGCTACTCGCCTCGCTTCCTCGCTCGCCGAGGCGAGCTCAGAAAGACCCACAAGTCCTTGGACGGTAAGACAACCAGAGAAACTCCCGGAGGCTCAGCTGACATTCGACGGATTGGAGGCTCAATGTTTGATCCGGTCTGCGAGACGACGGCCATTGGCAGGTATTGAAGGTATACAAGAGTGCGGTGGTGCAGAGCGAACGCGGGGTGGGAGTGTTTTCATGATACTAGAGTTACTAGAGCATGATAAGATTGAGATGATGAAGCTTAAGTTTGCCATGTGTTGTAGCTGTGATTGAAATCACGTGGGGGTCCCAAGAAACTACTGTAAGGCTTTGGTAGTCAGAATTGATTTATGATGTTTATATAAGCATGGAAAACGTGAAGAAACTTTGCAGAACACAGGACTCACCAAGTTGGGTCCCCCATTTTGCTTGACCCATCTATAGTACCTAGGGTCCAGGGCCGAATTCGAATCCAATGTACCTGAGCTCCACTGGCCTTTTTGGTCTTTGAAGCATCGGAACCCTGCCAGGTCCAGATCTAGAGGAAGCTGTTTCCTTTTCCCGTCGCGCTAGTCCATGCATGTCGACATGCGCTGCGCTGGTATGACCACTTTCTAAATACCAAACGGGGTATGAACTCAACGTTCCGTGATGATTTCAGGGAGTCATTCTTGTTTGACGGGCAACATGAGCAACCCTACGCCTCTTGGGAGACCAGTGGGTGCACCATGACAGGAAGTAAGTACTAGTCCCTAGGGCTCCAACTACCGCCTGAGAAGGTGGTTGGGGTGGGTTTTGGGGGTCTAACCACCTTCTGAGGATATGGGTGGAGCCCTAGGGAGTAGGAGACCATTGGTGCTGGGATTTCTTCCAAAAACACCTGCCGAGGTCCAACACAGCGAAAGGTGTTTGTAGTCAGCGATGGAGGCATAGCTTATTCCACAACCTCTTTGGATCCATATACCCTGCAAAAGAGGGTGGGTGATGTGTTCTACACTTCTTGTCGGCTTGGATGGTCGTAGCGTCGTACCTTTTGAGAACGTGGCAGTGGATCCAAAAGGTCAAAAGTTCATCGTTACCAGTTCAACGTCACCCTCCTAGGGGGGGCTACTGTGCTAGTTTCTTCTCCCAGAAATGCCGAGGATAGCATGTCCAACTGGCCTCCTTTGTCCGGGAATCAGCAGTCTATACTCGAACCGCCACCGGATGACACCCCATGACCCAGGTTGCCTGGTGGCCCGTCGTCCGTCCCAGGAGAGGCCACCCAAAGGATGGGGGAGGTGGACGCGACGGCCTTGCCAGGGGTGCCCGATTCGGCCTAGCGGGGACGCGTTGCCACGGGCGGTTTCACCCACGCCCGATTTGGCCAAGGCAGAAGAAGGACGTCGGGGTCGACCACTACTGCACTTGTTCGGGTGGGGGATGTTTGTTTGTTCGAAGAAGAGGTGGAGAATCAATGAGCATCAGCATCATCGTGCGTTTGGTGAAGCTATGTGAAGCTGGATTTGGGTGGAACCAACAGGTGGAACTTTGGTGAACTTCTAAGAAATTCCAAGGTGAGTCATCTAATTTTTTGTGGGTGCAACGTCAAGAAAAATCTATGTAACAATCATTATATATGTTGTTTTAAAGGCGTGTAAGATCATGTAAGGGTTTTCAATCTTTAAGGGAGAAAGCCAAGAAGAAACTAACTATAGTAATTTTTTGGGTTGTGGCGTGGGCGGATTCACTACACGTTTAAAAATACTATGCATGTGATTTTTCCACAAACAGTGTGGACACACTTAGGGGTTCATACGGTAGTAGTTAAGCACCGGTGTTAGATCGCTGTGTCGCGCGGGCGTGTCCGGCTAATTCGTGCTATTTACAGCACATTCATGCCTCTCGAAATCGTCGACGTGCTTTTCGACTGCGCAAGCTCGCAAAATCTGGGTGGCTGTAGCGGGTGCTTGTTGCGACTGCGCTCTCGTTGATGGTGGTCACCTTTGGTGGCAGGTGGAAGGGAAACCTCGTGCTTTAGTGCTCCCAAGTCGACTTTTCGTGACAGGCGAAAGGGGTCAGAGCGGCTTTACTTCGAAGTGCAGATTTTGTGGCAGGTGCAGCACTTTGGACATGGTGGGGATCATCGAGGCGCTCTGATTTCGTGACAGGTGCAGTGAATCGTGACTTTTTGACATGTGGTCCGTTTGCAGATTTCGTGGCAGGCAGGCACAGCAGTTTGTGAAGCTCAAAGTGCAGATTTCGTGGCAGGCATAGCACTTTGTGAACCGCGAAGTGCAGATTTCGTGGCAGGCGCAGCACTTGATGAACCTTGAAGTGCAGATTTCGTGGCAGGCACATCTCTTTGTGAACCTCGAAGTGCAGATTTCGTGGCAGGCATAGCACTTTGTGAACGTCGAAGTGCAGTTTTCGTGGCAGGCACAGCACTTTGTGAACCTCGATGGGCAGATTTCGTTGCAGGCACAGCACTTTGTGAGCCTCGGAGTGCAGATTTCGTGGCAGGCACAGCACTTTGTGAACCTCGAAGAGCAGATTTCATAGCAGGCACAGCACTTTGTGAACCTCGGAGTGCGGATTTCGTGGCACGCGCAGCACCCTTGTGACAGATTTCGTGGCAGGCACGGCACTTTGTGAACCTCAAAGTGCAGATTTCGTGGCAGGTGCAGCACTTTAGTGAACCTCGAAGTGCAGATTTCGTGGCAGGCACAGCACCTCCCAACATCTAGACCTTTAGTCTTCTTACACTCACTCTCACTCTCACTCAGTCATTCATTCACTCACTTGATGCGTGCTCTCAGATGTGTGCTCTCTAGACATCTGTAGATACTGTAGACCTTTGAAACTCTAGCTTCCTGTCATACAAGAGGATTCGGACATTAGCTTCCGCTTCCTGCTCCCTTGTGCTCGCGGGTGCTTCACCTCCACCTATTACTCCCTCTACTTCCGCCCCCCCTCCTATCCTCACTTTTGTCTCGACTTCGTCCTACATGATCTCTACACTGTTTGGGGTCTCTTGCCGGGATAATTTTTGACATTACTTGTGCTATATTTTCACAGTGCAATGATAGAGCAGAACACAGAATTTATTACCATTACACGCTTCTAAGTGAGAATGTGATTATACAATTCATGAACTCCATTCCCTCCAACAGTTATGATTAAGGGCCAACAAATGATAGAGTTGGTAGCAACGACCCCAGAATGTCTTTGAGATTGGGGTCCATATATATATATACTTTATTTTTTGGATTGCGCCATCTAATTTGAGACGACTGTAAGTGGATGTTATATTGGTCAATGACCGGTAGGCTGCTGGTCCGGTGCGGTACGAGTATACCACATTTTTCAGGCTGCTGAGGTCAGCCAAGGAACCTAACTTCACCAAACTGGCATTCAATGGCTTGACAAAATGCTTCCCTCCCAATTCAACGCTGATCTCATGGGACCATATTCCCACATGGTGAAATGGTGAAAGGGAGCGTTCGCGCCGTTGCCAAGGTCCTTCTCGTAGATTCTTTCTTCACCGTTTGCTGGACAAAGGGCCATTCTGGACCTACCAGCATGCAGTTCCAAATGAAATGTGCTATTTTTATAGGGAGACAACAAGACACCCTAAGACACCCAACCCTATGAAGAGACTGGTCTATGTCTCTTCTTCCAGGGGTCTCGCCTGGGAGGTCACTTTGAGCTACACACAGCGGAAGGGTGTTCGTCCCCTCTACCAGCACCCGACTCTACAGGTCCCGGCTTTGGGAGACAAAGCGTCAGGTGGTGACCTGGCATTCAGGTGGTAGGGATCATCCGGAACCCGGTGTGTTCCGGCCTCGTCCCCCCAAGGACGGCCGCTCGGTGAGGTCGAACACGGACCGGTTGTGGGGACTGGCATCGGTGGGTGGTCCGGGGCGGACTTGGCATGCGGATGTGACGCGGTACAAAGCATTGAGCCTCAGAGCCTCAGAGCCTCAGGGCAGTGGCACTAGTACATGCCCTGGAGCGACACCTACCATCAACTACCCCGTATGTCTCTGTAACCAACATGATGTGGAGAGAGGATCAAAGGGATCTCCATGGAGTGCTTCTTGGTCCGTCTACCGGCGGCTTGCTGGCGAAAAAAACGCCTTGCGACGCAGGACGTGCATGTGGCACAGCAAAAACGGCGCAAGAAGCTGAGCCTGCGGTAGGAGGAGGATTTGGTATTTGATGGTATCGTGCCTTTTAGGTGTTCAAAATGCATTTGGATCTACGGCTCTACAGGCCACAGTTGTTTGGAAGATGCCTTCCCATCCATCATTGATAATTTATGGGGAGTGGAGCTTGTATAGGGATCCTGTCCACAGCCTTCCTCAGGAGCTTGGTCGGACCAAGTTCCTCAGGAAGCGGTACTCACACCTCCCCATGGATTGGGTTTTGCTCATTACTTGCAAGTTATGTTGATTTGATGCGACTTTAATTATTTTGCTGATTGGGTGAAGGTTTTCCTATGTTCTCCTCGCACAGTTCACCTCAGCATTTCAGCTTCACGCCAACAGTGTGCCTTAGGAGTCTTTGGACGCTTTAGTTTTTTGTTATTATGCCATGGCACTCATCTCCCGCTTCTTTGATCAGCAGACTTGTGAAAGCCCAACGAGGGAGTTCCTGATGCCTTTGTCATCGTCAAAAACAAGCTTTGACAGAGGTGTGTTGCTTTCGGGATGTTCTTGCTGTGAAAAAGAGGAAGGGAGATGGCCCAAAAGTGTCGAATCAATGATCGCTACCCCGGAACGGGGGAAGTGACTTTGTCACACTGTTTTGTCGATATGTTGTCGCCCTTGATGTGCCACCCTCCGAGGTCTTTGAAATTGTTGCCACACGGAAGCAACCCAAGTGATGCCAAGATCTCACAACTAAGGATGCCAGGTCTTACCGCATATTTCATCATTTTTGAATTTATTTCCAGTATTTAACATGTGGTGAGACCTGGCCGTTAGGCTCATCTAAAGCTTCAAGTAAGGAAGACAGGCTTGTCACTGTAGCTTTAGCGGAAGAAATCCCAAACATCATCCAGCTTCAGCAGCTTCCACAGCAGGGTCGTCCTTCAAATCTGCAAGAACGACCTCCAAACACGCTAAAGTATACTAAAACTCCCCTCCACCATCCAGTCGGGGTGCCCCTGTTTGTGGTGCCCCTGTTTGGGTGGGGTAGTCGAACGCCAGGACACCATCGGATGGTCAGATGGTCCTGGTCTAAAGCATCTCTTTTATGGAGGATGCAGATCCCTAAAGCCCTAGGGTTTGTTCCATCTTTTGGGTGGCATGCTGTTGTTGTACAACCTAGGCTTGCCCCCGGGAGCCCCCGAAAATTCCGCATGATTCCAACGAATAGGGTTTCACAGAAGATTCCAACGAACAGAAATGATGCAAACGAGAGACACACCCAAGCTCCCTTGCAAGTCCGAAACGCTTCATGATGGAACAATATAAGCGTGCACTGACCCCTGAAGACACCCAAATGTACATTAGGTATAAACATATTTTATCTATAAGCCAGACGTTTGGGATTGCTGGAAATTCACTCTCGTTCATCGCGTAAGTATATGTGACTCAGCTACATGTGTTCGGAGTCAGCTACCTGATGTCATCTACTGGGGAGCCGGAGGTTGGTTGAAAGGCGCCTGAGTTATTGCAAAGCGTGGAAACCGCTCGGGCTTGCTTTGGAAGTGCCAGATGGACGCTTGGAAGACTACAATGTGTAATTTGCAGAATTGTGTTTTGTTCCAGAAGACCCCAGAACCTTAAAAAATGACAGTTCTAAGTAGTGTTTGAGGTCTATATATAGGTAGCTCTTGAAACAAGAGGCTTCCCCGTCCGACTGCACCGGGGAACACGCGGCTGCCCGGCTACGCTTGGTGTCGTCACGTGTCGTCGCATCGAGTCGGAATATCCATGGTGTCGACCTACGTTCGTCCAGTCTGACCCAGGTCCAAACCTGGTCTGACAAACCTCAGGTTTTGTATTGGTTTTGTATGACCATCTGGTTTTGGAGTTCTCCATCTCCAGTATTTCATGAGGTCGACTTGACTTGTAGGGAAAACATGAGGGCTCCATGTCCAGTGAAAGCACCTGCCTAGGGCCTTTATATCTTACTGTATTTCTTTTGTTTATGGACCATTGTTTGCTGAAAGTCTTTCGCCGATCCTGTTGCTTTGGCCTGACCTGGCCAATCCTGTTTGGCACACCAATCGAGCCTTGGCTGCGTCCGCCTGCCGTCGAACAAGGCAATGACCTTGGCGTTCACTCCATCTCTCCATCGCATAAGGATTGAGCTAAGCCTTCGAGGTCCGAACACGATCTGTAGACACCGGCCCCAGTCGACACCGGTCTCGAACAGGAGATCCGAAATCGCCCGGACACCTGTTCGTGATCAGCTTCGAAGGGTTCGAAGGGTTCGAAGGGTTGAGGTTTGCTTGGCCGTGAGGAGTTGGAAGAGTTCCACCGGGTTGGGGAGATCGGGTCGAAGCAGATCGAGTCGGAACGACACCTGAAACAGCGAAGGGGCGAAGGGGCACCTGGGACTGGAAACAGGTTCGTAGCTCGGAACCACGGGTTTCAGGTTTGGGGGGTCATGTCCCAATGTCCCAAGGTACGAAACTGGAGGGTCCAGGTGGGGCTGCACATCAGGATGAAGTATCAGACACTTCCTGGACACGTCTTCCATATGGTGCAGTGGATAGATGTGGGCAGTCCAGTTCGTCCTAGAAGAAACGGGACACTGGACACTGGACGGCTGGTCCGAAATGGGCTAGAAGAAACCGGCAGCCTGACGTTGGCAAACAAAAGGGCTCCGATGTGAGCCTGCAGCTGTTTTGGTGCTCAGGGAGTTCTGAACGTTGCCCATGGTGGAGCAAAGATGAACAAACCTGAGACTCCGCTATGTTGGGACTGGTTTGCCTGTTGTAACAGAGGTCCCCAAGCAGAGATAGACATGCATCCCAATACATGCATGATCACGCATGTTTAGATTGATTTAACCTTTCCCTAGGCTTCCAGCCACCATTAATTTAATAGGCTTTATATATACCGAATCAACTAAGGATTTTACACTACACACACCAGGTCGTTCCCATGTCATGTTTTAAAGGTCAGACGGAAGTCTAGGGCTTTTCTATCTGCGGGGCATCAAGGCATCGCTGAGCTTGGAAAGTCTGAGTCCAGACGATGTCAGTGGTTGAAGGTGGTGGCGTTGATCTCCGTTCAAATTGGTTTTCGATGTGTTCGAGTTCGTTGCACCGCTCGGTGGAAGAGGATGAAATCAGTTGAAGGATGAATCCAGTGCAAGGTGAAACCACGGAGAACGGCTATGGAGAAGGATGGTGAATCGCTGGCTGATCATTTCAAGCTTCAGACCCTAATGTGGGAATCTCCTTCAGCAACTGACTTGGTACCCTGGACCAGCCTTTTCAAAGGTAACAAAGAGGAAAAACGGCCAGCACCACGGTGGCGAGCCGTCAGCTCCAATTGGGGAGGTAAGACCAGCCAATTGCTTTAGGCATATATATATATATAGTGATGCATTGAGATGATATGTGGGAAGTGGATCCAAGCCAACGAACGCAGAACATCGGATCCAAAAAAATAGCTACAGGTCTCGTTCATGCGAGGTGAAACATGGGGCCCTCCGGCCGCCATGCCTTGGGTGACCGAACTGGATGGCTGTCAGCCGTGCTTCGCTTAGAGTCTTCCGTTCTTGACCGCACTGGATCCCATGCTTAGGTCGGTCACCCACAGGCCTGCACGAAAACACTCCCGAAAACTCGCCTGGATCCGTCCTGGTCCGGAAGACTCGACCTTCCTCTACCGACCAAGGGGGGTTCAGCTTCGGGATCGACACCGTGTCGGTCACAGACTGTCGGTCGCTCGAAGGACGCGGGCCGAAGCTCGGTCCGCAGGACGGAACACCGGAGCCACCGGAGCACCTCGACTCGAGGTCGTGCGAGGTCAACCCCACTCTGAGAGGTGGAACGAAACAAGAAAAACCATTGAGGTACTCCGACTTGCTAATCATGGAAGTGGAGCTTAATGTTGGAAGACTGAAATTCCGCGAACGAAACAGGGGGTGCCATCCACTGAATCCAAGTTCAAGTCCAATCGTTTCATCCTTTGGCACCTCAGTCCTTCAGTGGAGCGAAGCGATTCCGGACTTCACAGCCCTCCCGGGTCTCCCCCAACAGAAAACGGACCTGGAGACCGATTTGGTAGCCGATGTTGTTGTTTTTTCTCGCAGCTGTCCGTAGCAGAAGCTTTCCAGACGTGATGCTCCGGATGTTTCGGATGTTCCCAGAAAGATCCAGACTCAGATCCAGATGTGAGTCTGACACCCCATGTGCGAAAACCTGGCAACAACCCCATCATGACCACTCCATACGCTGCACCGGTGCCACACTGAACCATCGGTGATCCACCAGCAGGTCCCCTGCAGACGGTTCAGGAAGACCAACCGCAGGACGCGCCGACGCGCGCCCACGCGCGCGCGCGCGCAAGCGCGCGGAGGTCGCTGGGGCCATAGGGAGAGGGGAGGTCGGACACGTCGAGCGTGGAGAGCATGGAGGTAATGGAGCCTGGAAGGAATGTCTACTCAGTGGAAACCTCAGCTCCCATCATGTGAGTTGATCGGCTGGACACCAGAAGCCGCGCAGGCGAACTGGTGCAGCCCGGCTACGAACCAGAAGTCAGAGACGTCAAAGACGGCTTCCACCGTCCATCCAGCTGAACACGGTGGAACGAGCCAATGAATCACCACCGCCCAGTTTAGGGCAGGTCCCGATCCTTCCTGAAGATGTAGGGATTGGACCCGAAACACAGCCTACTCTGAGAGTCAAAGACTATATATACAAAGAATGGCCTTTGGATAATTACCTGATTTCAGGAACCTCCTTTACTTCACTGAAAGACATGGCGGAGTCTGCTCCGTGTGACGAGAAACGTCGGCCTGGCAGGATAACGAGTCCCTCATGTTGTTGAGCAACACCAGCATGTTCAGCAGTGCAGCAGGCGACGGAGCATGGGAGACCGTATGAGATCAAATTCGGCATCAGAATCCAACAAGGCCTTAACGGTCCTTAAGATATAATGTTTTACATGTTTTTCTTGTTAGGTTGCTGAGGATGGATAATGACATATATCATTTGAAGATGTTGGAAGTCAAGTGTTTTT